CAGAGTTATCTCGCTTTGATAAGGTAACCATTTCCGGATGAGAAAAATCTGAATACGAAACAGTCGAGAAGATAACAGAATATCACTCTACTGTGTAGTGATTATCGCTTCTATCTTGAAAGGACATAGTATTCGTTAAAACATGTTATAAGTTTACACACACTATATATATATATATATATATATATATATATATATATATATATGTGTGTGTGTGTGTGTACCTTCATTAGAGGAGTAGTGTCAGTATTACTCATACCCGAAGCCCAATCATCTGGGTGTAAGACGCATGGGAATTCCTTTTTAGATGACGTCTCTGTTAAGAGAAATCTTCCATGTGCCCTGTCTCTTCAGGACATGGGTGGTCATGAGTACCCCACAATTTCCTATCATTGTATCTCTTTTTCTCTCCCGATCCATGTCCTACCAACCATTCACCCAAGATAGTATCTCGTGCGTATTAAATTTTCCAAGACCTATTTCCTTATGAACCATACAAATTTCAGTTGCTTCTTTCTTGAAGTTAAATTTAAGTATCATTTTTATTCCCTAAAGTTTCGTCGTGTTCAGTCCATAGAATTCCCAGCATTCCTTTGTAGAACCATATTTCCGTTGCCTCAAGTAACTTCTTCATTTGTTGTAAGATTGTCCAACATTCTCTGCCATATAGGAGGACCGGTATTTCATAACAGTTCAGAATTATTTTCTTCATTTCTAAAATAATTTTCCTGTTTCTTAATACTTAGTGTCTGGAAGGCATCTTTCGCTATCTCAGTGAAAGTTCGGAATTTCGAGTCATGTTTTCCGTCTTTTTTTTTCTATACTTTCTTGAATTGGGTATCTCCAATTCGTACTTCACATTATGGTCTATTCCTTTTTCTGAATTTCCTGGGTAAGACGATAAACTACGTCCGGCAGCAAGCCCTCTGATCAGGCGGTTTCTAGGAGTGTGGAACCACCTCTTAATTGCTGTTGTCCCCCGGTCCACTCAGAATCGGAGTAGTTGCACCTGTTAGGGACCCGTCTATGAGCAAGTAGTTAACCACCAAACTGGGGGTGAAAACACTATGAAAGTGGAAAAATAGGTTTTAATACCAGCAATATATTTTTTCTAAAAAGTTATTACCAGCAATAAATGTCTTCTCGGCATTAAATAACCCATTGAGGTGTTGATTGTTACGGTTTTTTGGGTATATATTACCTATAACTAGTGAGCAAGTCAGAATGACTTATTTCCTTTATAATCGACTAATGGGAGGTTGACCAATCAGAAGCCGCCCAACACTGTATTCATCGTGTATAAAGGCGGCCATCTTGTTTCGTCTACCAGAACGACAAAAGGCGACCAGGAGAAGGATGAACTACACTCTGCTGTGATATCCACTGCGAACCTAAAGTACGCTTTCCTACTGTCTCCGAAATATTCACTGCGAACCTCTAGATTCAATACTCAAGGATCGACCGTCATGAAAATGTCTAACATTGATATGCCATAAAACAAAACAAATCAAACCAGTAAAAATCTTGTCAGCATTAAATAAGCCATTGAGGCTGATATGCCGTAAACCAAACCATTTTCTGGCAAGCATATATGGCCTAATTGGAATTGATGGTTAATCATTTGTTCACGCTTGTCTTTACTACCGTCTGTAGGGGGGGGAGGGTCCTGTAGGTTTTTTTTATCTGTCTACTATCAATACTATTCCATTTGCATATTTGACATTAAGATTGTGGCCGCCAAAAAAAAAAAAAAATATCTGGTGGTAGAACTTGTAATACTCTCAGGATCGCCTCACTGTTAATGTTGAATAAGTCCGGTAAGAAGACGCAGCCTTGTCTTACGCCCCATTTTATTTTGTTTTAGCATTATTTAAAAAAAATATCTAGCTAGCTAGCGAATGAACAAAATGATAGATTGAAAGATGAAAATACTGAAAATCAACAAACTGAGATTGAAATCAACAGATTGGTAAATATGAATAGAACGAAATATAAAAATACATAGATGAACACACTTAGACATGAGAGTGATATGAACAGTTTGATATAGATCAGTGTTTCTCAACGTGGTCCAGGTGGACCACCGGTGGTCCACAGAGCATTTCTAGAATTCGTAGCCATAAAAAAATTGTAGCCATTTCACAAAAATGTATCTAAATTATTCATACTTGGAAGAATTAAAAATATATATTTTGTTTAATTACGCACATGTCTATTATATTTGAAAATTTCGAAATTACGTAGGTATTATGCAGTGCTATATTTGTTTTATTTTGTATCATATATATTTACATTATTTATTTATGTATATAAAATATGTTATATATACTTCATATAATATTTTATTCATATAAAAATTTATTCCTATGTTAATAGATCACTACACAATATTTGATTATAAATTTGATAATTCTAATTTATAGAAATAAAGTATTTATTATTTTTATAGAATAGTTTTCGGCTGTTGTGAATGTTTTCAGTAGAAAATAAAATAAAAAAGATCTCAACAGCAGAGGAACTCTCAGACTAACACTGAATGACACCATCAAAATTGATTTTTGATATCTTGTGTGAGAAACACCAAGATCAAGGTAGTCACCAGCTGAATGAACTAAGACTGAATGACATCATCAAAATTGATTTTGATATCTTGTTTTTATCCTTGTTGACTAAAATAAATTTTAAAATGTAAATAGACTATTTTCTCTTTTCTTGAGTATTTTAGTGTGAAAATTGAACAGCCTAAAAGTAAAAGTAGGAATGGTCCATTTTGAATTTTTTGAAGAAAAAAAAATGGTCCATGCGCTGAAAAATGTTGAGAAGCACTGATATAGATGAACAGATTGAGATATGAATTGAGATATATATATACGCACACAAGAACAAACTTGGGAATCAACAGGTTGCGATATCGAAGTATAGATACAGATGTAGAGATCAATAGCCCCATATGATTTTCAGACCAAGCCTTTCAGTATAGACGTAGAAATGAATAGCCCTATACGATTTTCAGACCAAGCCTTTCATTATAGATGAAATCAATAGCTCCCATATGAAGCCTTTCAGTATAGACGTAGAAATCAATAGCTCCATATGATTTTCAGACCAAGCCTTTCAGTATAGACGTAGAAATCAATAGCTCCATATGATTTCAGACCAAGCCTTTCAGTATAGACGTAGATATCAATAACCCCATATGATTTTTGCACCGAGTCTCTCAGTATAGACGTAGAGATCAATAACCCGATATGACTTTTGCACCGAGTCTCTCAGTATAGACGTAGATATCAATAACCCGATATGATTTTTGCACCGAGCCTCTCAGTATAGACGTAGATATCAATAACCCCATATGGTTTTTACGATTTTATAGAACGTAAGATCAATAACCCTATACGATTTTCGCAACAAGTCTTTCTGTATAAACGTAGCCCTATACGATCTTCACACCAAATCTTTCTCTGAATATCACATTAAGATTTTTTCATTCTTATGTTCATAATATCTCTAAAGTTTCTCTTATAAATATATAAATTTTATTAAAACAATAAAACGGACATAATTAATTTAAAAAAAAAATCACAATTACGGTAGTCGATACCATTAACTTAGGAACAAGATAAAAAGGGGAATTTGCTAACCGGTTATCGCTCTTCAAAGGTCGATCGAAGAAAGTAAAAAAAATGAACCAAAAAAGGAAAGATAGAAAAAAAACATTCCATGTTTCCTTTTTAGATGGTGAAGACAGCAATTCTTTTTAGTTATTTTTTAATTTCCTCCCTAGAGTTTTTTCGTTGTTTCAATTTTTGTCAATGCGCACAATTTTTACTCTTCCCAATCGAAGTGATAACCAGCTAACTAGTTCCTGTTTTTTTTTCTTTTTTCTTTCTCCTTTTTTCATATTTTCAGCTACCATATGTGTGCTTTTTCCCTTTTTGCCTCTTTTAATTATGTCCGATTTCATTGCTTTAATAAAATATATAAATATAGCAAATTTGAAATACATTTACATAACCATATATATTTAATTCTGAGATCATCATGGATCAAACAAAGGTGTTCAGGTATTAGTTTAAAAACGGAACCCTCAGTGTAAGTTGCACAGCAATTCTTTTTAGTTATTTTTAATGCGTCTTATATGAGAGGAAATAGTGTTAATTACTTGATTATAATTTTTAGAAGTGATTCACACTCAAAAAGTTTTTAGGACAATGAAGCTCATTCCTTATACCTTCCAGTTTCTTATTCATAGAAAATTAACATGAAAGCGATGTAAAATTCTTTTCATATTCATTTTTGATGGGTACTATCCTATATATTTCCAATAAAAGGTATAGTTGCTTTCGTGTTAATTTTCTATGATTAGCAATACTCAGATAACTTATAAGTTTAGAATTTTATATACTAGTAGATTTTTTTAAATTTTATATTTTTGATGGGTAATATTCTATATAATTCCAACAAAAGGTACAGTTTTTTTTTTTTATCATGGTTTTATACTTTTTTGTTTGTCTGTGTGATTTCTTTGTATTTCAGTGCTTTTTTTTCTTGTAAAATCATTTACTGTATTTACACGTGTTCTGCAATTGTGATCCAAAAACCACCTTTTTCGCCCACATTCGCTTTCTTTTAGAGTACCCTTATTTATTGTACCCTGTTTTACTTTACCTTTTTTTTTTTAACTGTACCCTGAGCGGGCTCAAGTTGAAATACCTTCCTGGCTATTTCCCCCTTGTTTTTTTTATTTTAATTTATATTTTTTTTCATTTTTTTAAAGGTATTTTCTTGTATCTTTTGTTGTTGTTGTTGCCGAGATGTTTACCCCTACACCATTTTTTTTTTTTTTTTTTATCCCTAACCATTATTTGCTTCTTTGCTTGCATTTTATTTTATGTTCCTCGTTTCTTTCTTTCTTTCTTTTTTTTTTTTTTTTTTTGTCTTCTCTTTTTTTTTTTATTCCCTCCTCTGTGTCGGCGTCTCCTTCCCATTTCCGTCGCTAGGTGGCGGGTTGATTCCCTCGCATATACGAAACCGCCCTTCTTCCAACACTAGACGTGAGAGCACGGAAACTACAGAACCGGACAAAAAAGATGAGCGTAAGTTTTTTCATTTTTTTTTTCCTCCTGTGACAACGACACAGACTTTTGTAATATTAATCAACTTATTTCGTCTGGAATCTCTGTTCTGCATTTTCTTAACAAGGGTCAACAGTGGCATCAATTCTTCTTTTCTTTTTTTTTTTTTTTTTTTTGTCTGGACTTGGCAGGATTTAATCATGTCAATGTTGTCAAATATCTACAAAATCTAAAGGTGAACGAATTTCTTTCACAATAAAGTATCATGATAATTCTGTTTGTCCCTCCTTGGTTAGCAAGACCGTTACGCCCTCCCAATATCTCATAAATAAGACTCCACTGAGTCCCCCATATTCGCGGGGGTTATGGACCAGAACCGACCGTGAATAGTTAGAATCCGCGAATACTTGTAACCCCCCTCTCCCAAAAAGTGCTTACAAGTACCTATTTTGATTATTTAAACCTCATATACCTTAAAGTTTCATCCTAAAAACTTTAGAAACATTTCAGACCCTTTTAAAAATATTTTTGAAAAATAGTATAGGTCACCATACACCTAGCGTAAATTTTCTTTCATACGTACAATAACCGTTTTTAATAACGCATAGATCGATAAAACCATTGAAAATACTGTATAAAATATATATAACAAGACATAAAATTTTAAAACTTAGCATAAGAAACTTTTAAGACCCCAGCTGCAGCCCCTAACAAAGAACAAAGCCTAAGCACTATGCATGTTTTTGTTTGTTTTTTTACAATGAAGATATACAATTCTGCCAATTTTTACCATGAAATGGATTGTTATGTTTTAAGGCACTTAAGTAAAAGGAAATTAATACATAAATATTTTAAATATGTTCTATCGAAAAAATACGCGAATCGAGGGAGTTCTCAGCGAATAATTTGTAAATATGTTCTTCAGAAAAACACGCGGATATTCGGGGTTTCCGCGAATAACAAGTACATATGTTCTAAAGAAAAGCCGCGAATACTGAAACGCGAATAGGCGGGGGCTCACTGTATTCTGTTTTGATCAAAGATGGAAAAGACGCTACTTGGTTTCAGTGAGAAAATGAAAGCAACCAAGAAAGGAAGATAGAAATGTTTAATATTTGTTTCATTTGCATCTCCTTGGTTCTTAAAATGTACACCATTATTCATATTTATTATTGCAATATTTTGTTAAAGCTGTTAAGTTCAAATATTTTTATAGCGTAATTTGTACGGATATTTTATTATGGAAATCGTCCTGAGTTTATCAAGTAAGAAGTAAGATTCATCAGAAAATTCAAATAGGAAAACTGTGAATGTACAATTCTTGGTATTTAAATTCGTTTTTACGGGAACACAGATAATTTAGAATAGGAAATGAGAAAAAGAGCATAGGAAAAATAAAGGTTATATTCGTAAAATCAGTACAGGAGGTCCTCGACTTAAGTCAGAGATCCGTTCCTACGATGCGTCGTAACTCGAGTGTCCGTTTAAGTCGGAAGTTACCCGATTCTTCGTGAATAAGCACTTAGGTTACTCACCTATACTAACGCAATAGTAATGTAATAACGTCGAACATAACAACACAGTTCTATGAAATATGTTAACATAATTAGGACTAAAGAAAAACCCACACATGGGGGACGTAAATATAACACAAGCCAACGAGAGCGAATGTACAACAATCCAATATGGCGTACAACCTGGAATTTGCGCACCCCGACTTGTTTACGAGGTAAAGCTGATTCCCTGTTACATAGTGTAACAGCAAAATTGTCCATTTGTGAAATTAATCTCTGAACAGTTGTATCTTAGAAATGATTAAAGATATCTTACAGGAAACCTCCAAGGTATTTATAACAAGATTGGTCTCTACGTTGAGCTATAAGAATGTATAATTACTCTTCAAGTTTAACAGAATAATCATGATGAAATCGATCATTAACGAAAATGACATGTTCACATTAAGTAATCATAGCTAAGGATCGGAAGCTCAAGAAGGATTGAAATTGAGTTCACACACACACATATATATATATATATATATATATATATATATATCATTCCTGGATCATTTTCCAACTTATTCAATATTATTTGCCCTCTCTAATCTTCAAATTGTCTGTCCTCGAGTAACAAGGTGCCTCATGTTTCGTGTAAGATTTCATTTTCAAGTTTTTTTTTTTCTCTGCTCTTTGGACTGTTATAGGTGAAACATCTCTCTCACGTGACAAACGTCTTATGGACTCAGTTGGATCTTTTCTAATTGATCACTTTAGCAATAAGTTGAAATGATGACCCTCTACTGTTCCCTCTTTTTTAAACTTCTTCAACCATTCTCTTGATGGTTTTTGAATGAAATTTGAAGATGGAAGCCAGAGTATAAATGTTGGTACCATTACTGAAGGCTTAAATGATTTTTTTTTCTCTCACACCATATTTCATTTGCGAAGATAGTGAGGTTGATACAAAATGATTTTAACCCCTTCTCTTTCTCGTCGAATAATTCGAAGGGTTTTTCAGGGATTCTTACGACAAATGTTGTCAAGATGGCTGAACGTCTTATCTTAGAACCTGGAATAAAGAAACTCAATTAGTTTATTATTATTTTTTTTTTTTTTTTTTTCAGATATTAAAAATGTTGTGGGAGGGACAATTGTTACACCGGGTATACCTCAACTATTCGCCCTTGCTTTGAATAATGCTGCCTGATGCTTCTACTACATATTTAAAGATTCTTGTTAAAATCCTAACAATAACCTGCAATATTATTAGTCCTGATCTGACATCTCGGCCTCACTCACTTTCCAACCGCCATAACGTAGCTTCCCTGTGGCTTTTCTATAAATATTTTCATGGCAATTGTTCTGACGAGCTTTCTTCTTATCGCTATTACTCTTTTGTTTAGTTTCTTATATATAAATTTTATTTATCGTAAATATTCATTGGAGTTTCATTTTTAAATATTGTTATTCTATTCCCCACAGACAAGTATTGTACGAATAGGAACTAGTTAGGGCTAAATAGAGACTTTGAGGTATTATGGTGACTGTAGTAAAAATAATAAATAAGAACGTGTTGTTTTGATGACAGGAATACTGTGCTATGTTTGGGTCAGTAATTGTGTCTAGCTAAGGTTACGATAATACAAGGGAAAGCTGGTTCTTCATTCTATCTCCCTTTTCGCCTTGTGCCATATTTTTGTATTTTACTAAATAAGTGTTGCTTTTCCTCCGAGTAAGATTGACCGCATGAATTTAAACGTAGTACTATGTGGAATGTGCAATGAATATTTTAGTTTACTTGAGTCAGCGTTTGAGGCGAGCTAATTTTAAGATGAGACAGACTAAAGACCAGTCTTCCTCTATCCCCTCAATTTGGCCTTGTGCCACGTTTTTGCTTTACGCAAAATAAATATTGCTTTCCTCTACAGTGTATAGACTATGAATTTAAGCGCCATACAAGACTGGCGACGAGGTTTCATCACTTTACAATTAAATAGCTTCCGTGTTTTTCTAAAAATACTTTCACGGTAATAGTTTTGGTGGGCTTTCATTAGTGTTTCATTTTCAAATGATCTTTTTATTATTCAAGAAAAATGGTACATATAGGAACTAGTTAGGACTACATAGAGACTTTGAGGTATTATGGTGACTGTAGTAATAATGGTAACCAAGAACGTCTTGTTGTGGTGTAAGGATTACTATAGTATGTTTGGGCCAGTAATCGTGGCTAGCTAAGTTTAAGACAGATTGAAAAACCAACCTTCTCCTATTTCCACTTTTGGCCTTGTGCCACGTTTTTGTATTATTCAAAATAAATATTGCTTTTTCCTCCAAAGAAGTTTGACCACATGAATTTAAACGTAGAATGTGTTCTTTTAATGCAAAGAATATTTTGGTTTCTTTGGTTCAGTGTTTGTGGCTAGCTAAGTTTAATATGAAACAGATTGAAGACCAACCTTTTTCTATACTCGCAATTTTGGCCTTGTGCCACCTTTTGTATTACGCAAAATAAATATTGATTTCCTCTATAGTGCCTAGACTTTATAAATTTAAGCGCAATCCAATATTGGCGACGAGGTTTCATCACTTTACAGATTAAATGGCTAGACATAACTGTAAGTTCTATGCTAACAGTTTCTTCTCTCACACTTCTTGCTTGTGGAACTCTCTTCTGGCTTCTTACTTTCCAGCCAAATTTGATCTTCAAAGATTAAGTGTAATGTCAATTGTTATCTATTGTCGTCTTAATTTGTCCACTTTCGTTGTTGTTTCTCCTTAATAGTATTTTTCTCATATTCTCTAAAACTCAGAATGCATTGCTTTAGTGTAAGGAATACTATGATATGTTTGGGTCAGTAATCGTGGCTAGCTAAGTTTAAGATAAGACAGGCTGAAGACCAGCCTTCCCTTATCCCCACTTTTAGCCTTATGCTATATTTTTGTATTATTCAAAATTGCTTTCTTTGGTGTCTCGACCCCCCGAATATAAATATAATACTTTGTGGTACTATGGTGGCTGTTGTACGAATGGTAAGTAAGAATGTGTTGTTTTCGTGTAAAGAATACTATGGTATGTTTGGGTTATTAATCGTGGCTAGCTAAGTTTAAGATAAGACAGGCTGAAGACCAGTCTTCCCTTATCCTTACCCCCCCACTTTTGGCTTTATGCTATCCTTTTTTTTATTATAACGAAAAAATATTGCGAGGAATCGGAAAGCCGATTTCGAATTCCAGTTGGTTCCATTACATTTACTTATATGCTAATGCTCTTGGGAAAGGTGTGAATCCTCTTCTTCTAATGCTATAGGTAAATAGCAGGTCAGACCGGGTTCTATCGCCTTGGATCGCAACTGGTCTACTTCAGAAAGAAATGGCAACTTACTGCGTGAAAAAATCAGCCTTGTCAGTCATGTATCGAAAGATACATGATCGCCTAAGCGTGTATGACGCATGGCACAAAACTGACTGAAATATTGCTTTCCTCTTTGGCGCCTCGATACGTAATAAAGGTTCACAAAGTCC